ATAGAGCAGGGTTTAGGGCTGTTGTGCATAGGGTCGCTATGAGTGGCAAACGACTTGACGGCACATAACAACACCAACAACATCTCAAGGTATGGGTAAAGGTTTACTTCCATTTTATTGTTAAAAAAACCAAAATCATCAAAACACAGTAAGACAACAAAAAATTTGCAAAGACTCCCGAAAGTTTACTGTACACTCCCTGTTGTTGTTGATTGCCGTGAAGTTGAGCATGACTCATCGTGACCCCGTGAACAAATGACCTGAAGTCTTCCTAAAACTATCGTCCTTTCTCAAAGTTCATAGTTTCCAGAGGCATGTTTTTTAGGAAGTGGATGCTACTCCTGCTATACTCCCAACTCTTGTCTAAATGCATTCCTTAGAGGCTTATTCACACTTTAGTTGCCAGTGACTCATGGTTAAGTCATCTGACTCATCTTTCTTTTTTCCCCTTAATTTCTATATATAGCTGCAAATCACATGACATTCTGCTTTGGTTTTTTGTTGTTGTTATTATTCAAAGAAAGCTAAGTAACTTGAACAGCTCTATTACCTTAATGAACTAAAGTCAGTCTGTGAATAGACTTCATGTATACTTCATCAGATTTAGTTTATGATAATTTTGTGGAAAGTTGAAGACTAATTCTTGGGGATTCTGGAGATCTATAAAAATTTCTATTACGTGGTAACCCAGGTGAGTTGAAGGTTGGCATCCAATGACTGCTATTGAGATAAGGAATGTTGCAGGAATATAAATAGGCCAGCAATGAAATTTAATTAGACCTTGCATATGTTAATAACAAATTCAATTAAATTCATTTTCTACCTATGCTAGAGGAAAGGAAAAAACCCAGGCAAAATGATAATTCATTTTAAATGCCTCAATTGGTACTCTTATTTTCTGAAGAGTGATTTATGCAGTAACTTACTGTTTCTTCAAGAGATTGTTTCAAACCAGCCCTTTTGAAATAATAATTTCTGAATGTGTGTTGTGAGAGATATAATAAATTACTTCTTATTAATTTTCATTTAATTGGTTGCCTATTCACATGGTAATTTCTTAAAAATTTTCTCAGGATAAATAGGTTCTAAATACTAAGGATAACCCCTCTATTTCATGAAAATCTGTCTTACCATCTCTACTTGATTTGAAAGTTTATCAGTTAACAGTTTTCTACATTAAATAAGTATCTATTCCTTTCTCAGTTGGGATAGCAGGTCATTTGAATTTTCTGTAGTCAAATGAGTTCCAAACGGTTTAGTAAACAAACATGTACTCAAACACATAATACTTAATGGCAGCAAAGTCAGCCATAGCAGAGATAACAGGGGGGTTTGTCAGGAAGGACAGTTATGAGTAAGATGGGATTATTCAAGAACCTCCACAGAAGTGATCTTCTTTTAAGCAAACTAAAAACCACAAACATGATTTCTCAGACCACAGCTTTCAGCTTTTTAACGTTGCCAAATTGACTGCCTTTAAAATCCTCAAGCTCATTGCCATCGAGTCAAGAACCAACTCACAGCCAACCCTCCAACAAGTTTTCAAGGACTGGAGATCACACAGGAGGAGATTGTCCATCCTGAAGAGTAGAGGAAGGATTCCAACTGTCCACCTTTGCATTGGCAGCGCAATTCCTGACCGTCTAGGCCACCAATAGAGTCTTACACGCATATTAAAAATACGTGGGAATAATTTTAGTTGCCAATAATGTCACAAGGTCTAACGACCTAACAATGAATAGAATATGTTCAGACCATTTAAATGGGATAAAATAATAAAATGAAAGCAAAATACTAAAAACGGAAAGAAAAAATTGCTCCAAAGAGTTCTGCTTATTAAAAATAAGCCAAGGCTCGAGGCTGTTTTAAAAGTCCCACAGCAGTAAGAACAAAGCTCTTAAGAACAATTGCTTAGAACATTTGAAAGAGTGTACCCAGTCTATTAAATAATTCAAACTCGACTGTTACTCACATGAGAAGCGGAAAGGCCTGTCCCCTAAGCCGCACTGGCGTACGCCCTCTCCGTAGAAAAGCCCGTACTGCATCTCGCCCATGAACTTGTCCAGCTCCTGCCCTGAGGCATTGACCAGCAGAGCACCTGTTTTGCAAAGGAAAGTGGCTTTAATCCACAGCGGTGTCCCCAAGGCTGTCACAACGCTGAGGGCACACGCAAAGCTTAACGCGCCGGCGCTGCAAAAAATTACTTTCTTCTGTTGGCTTGGCATGATTGGAAAGGGCGTCTGTGAGGGTGAGCTTCAAAAACAAGACTTTCGTGAGCGAGGGGGAGGGACTGTCTCTTTGACTGCATTTATTCCACAGGCTGAGCACACAGATACCAGCTGAAAATGTTGCTTCATCATCCAGGAGGGGTCCCTTCCCATTAAATGTCAGTAGAATGCCAGGACAAAGGTTACTTCTCACACGCACTTGTCTTCTTTCCTGTGTCTTCTAATTTGAAATCTTGAGACTGAGAATCTGTAAAACAAAACTCTTTCAAACTGCATAAGACTACCTCTTGTGTCAGTCGGTAACAAAGGTTTAAGATAGCAGATGGAGTCCTCTCTGTAACTTGATCAATGCCTCCCCTTTGCTCAGCCTTTTATCTGATTCGACGAAGTTGAAACTTTCAGAAACAGGCTTGGATCCCATGGTGAATTTTCAGCAACTTGAGAAGCTTATTGCTATATTTTTTTTAATATTTTTTATTATTATAGTAGTTTATTTACAAAATTCGAAAACATTCCAGAACAGATTCTTCCAAATTCCCTCACACCCCCTCCCATCAAATTATTCCCCCCATGATTAATCCTCCCTCCCCCTGCACATTCTCTGCTTCTACCCTCCCCCCTTGGATTCTTTTTTTTTTTTTTTTTTGGTTAACAAATAATCCTTTATTGAAATATTTTCATCTGTAGTTCCTTAGCTAGCTGGGCATTCCACAGCACCACTGTTGATGTCTTCTATGATGTCATGAGGGTGACGGCCATCAACATTGCAGCCCACAGATTGGGCAGTTCCCAGGATCTCTTTAATAGTTCCAGAGAGTTCTCTGGCTAAAGACCGGTGTCGCATCTGCCGGGCAATGCCAACAATCTCATCAAAAGTGATATTTCCACTGTGCTTAATATTTTTCTGCTTCTTTCTGTCTCTGGGTGGTTCCTTTAGGGCTTTGATGATCAGGGCAGAGGCAGAAGGCACCACTTCAATCTGGGCCTGTCTGTTCTGAATCGTCAGTTTCACTGTAATCCTTAGTCCCTTCCAGTCACCGGTGGCCTTGGCAATGTCATCACCAACCTTTTATGGAGACAGACCCAGGGGGCCGATCTTGGGGGCCAGAGCGGAAGTGGCACCGACTTCCCCACCGGTACTCCTCAGGTACACGACTTTAATCTCGTTGGGGTCGAACTTGGGCGGCATGGCGGAGGCGGCTGGTGTCGGATGAACCCGGAAGCGGGACGACCGAAGAAAGTTGCACCGAGGCCTCCTCGAGCCGAAAGCCGAAAGCTCCCCTTGGATTCTTATACTCTTTCTACAATAATGGTTTTATACAATATTTGTCATTGTAGGACTGGATTATTTCACTCAGCATAATGCTTTCCAGTCCCTACCAAGTTAGGTAATAATTTACATAATCATTGTTCTTGCATGCTATCTAATATTCCATTGTGTGAATGTACCAAAATTTGCTTTTTTTTTAAAAATGATTTTTCAGTTTTTAGGGATGAGGAAAGAATAGAAGATTTAGTGAGAGAAGTACATACATGTTAATATTTACTGGCAATTCTTTTTTAAATGTTAGTTGTAGCAGAAAAAAAGATAATTGAGTTCTGTACTTGTGAATGTGAGATGCTTAGTCTTCCTAATACTTCCCTCCCACCCCAAATCCATGATTTAGAGTCATGTGTGAGAATGGAGTTCTATTTGAACAAATCCTGGAATGTGAATATATGGAAGCAAAAATGTAATTGCCTAGATTTAGAAATGTTTTCCACCACAAGTCTTTGGCTCCTTTAGAATACCAACAGGGGATATGGTTCTGGATTTAGGGAGTGCCAGAATCTGTACTCAGTAAGCTGGCACTGGAATTTGACCACAGAAAAACAGGCCCCTCAGCAGAGGCCCTGACGGTATGAAAACAAGAGACAAAGGCAGGAGCAAAGATGGTTCAGTGAAATGGCTCAAGGCCTGAAAACTAAAGTTCAGAATTCAAACAGGCTTTTTTTCTATTTGTTTTTAAATTTGATTTTATTAATTTTAATGAACATTTACAGATACTTTGGATTTTCATTCATTCATTATTGCACTAATTTCTTTAC